AATCGATTGTGAACTTCTGAAACGAGTCGTCAGTAATTCCAGTCTTACAGGAAAGAGGCGAGAAAAGATGCTGCAATATATACACACTTTTTATCAGAACAGTGAAGTTTTCTTTCCATTGTTGACAAATTTCCTATTGAAGTTGGAAAATATATATATTATATTAATTAGGTCATTTTGTTAACTTTTGGGAATGCACTAGAATATACTCTTAAAAAAATGATTTCACAGTGATGCCATAAATAAACTATTTTGTTTATTAGACACACTTATTTTGGAAAACTACAAAACAATCCAAACTTTACTCTTCCTAAAATAAAGAGGACGGAACTATCACCATTTGCTACCAATTATCTGCTCTTATAGGACTTTTTTTATGTGGTCTTATTCTGCCTTTTCATTTTCTTTAGAAGCCCAGCACCAGCTTCTGTAGGAAAAACAGACCACCCTCCATGACACGAGTCAACACTGACACCAACCCAAACCATCTGAGACCAGAAATCTTTGATGTAAGGGATAATCCGCGGCTAGCTGTGATTTTAATGCAAGACTGGAGGCAAAGAACCACCCGACGGGAAGCAGAGTGCATTCAAATCGTTTAATGCACAGCTTGCCGTGGATTATCCCACTTATACCATGGTCATTTGCCATCATTGACAACTTAAAGATGTTTTCAGCGCAATATTTGACAGTTATTTTCGTCAGTTATGGCTCATTAAATCTAGCATTCTGCCTGCTTTAAATCAGACACAGAGATAAATAGTGCATAAGATTATAACATTTATTTGAATTCATTATTGAGAGAGAGAGAGAGAGAGAGAGAGAGAGAGATGTGTGTGAATTACCTGCATCTGTTCAGCGTCTCTCTCTATTAACAACAAAGCTTTTTGTGTAATTACTTCAAAACCAGCAATGTTACCCCATCATTGCTGAGAAATATAATGTAGCAATTCAGTAGCGAAGCTATTTTATCAATAAAAGTCATGTTGAGAACAAGTTTCTGTGCTCCTGCAGCCCGTTCTCATCCCAAGGCGTCATCTAACTGACGCTTTTGACCATGCGTCAACATGCCGACACACATGGTACCCCTTAAGCGTCAATATGAGACGCGCCTAGTGGTCTAACCCTAACCCTACCCCAGACCTAAACCTACCCATAACGGAAGCGTCATCTAACTGACGCTAAAGGGTGCCATGTGTGTCGGATTAAGACGCATGGTCAAAAGCGTCAGTTAGATGACGCCCGAGGATGAGCGTCTCATATTGACGCTTAAGGGGTACCATGTGCGTCGGTCAAAAGTGTCAGTTAGATGACGCCTTGGGATGAGAATGTGTTGGCTCCTGAATGTTTCTGTGTGCAGCGCGATCTCCGAGTGACGTATGCGCAGTGTTGAGGAGTAACTATGTAATTTTCAAAAAATGTCTAATTAAATTACAGTTACTTATGAAAATGTTAACGATTACAAAGGGATTTGGATCTGAATATTTTCTGTAAAAAGCTAGGGTATGTTGAATAATATTAATTTGTTGCTTTGTCTACTTTTAATGTGCCTGCCATTTAAAGGCCATTTAGTAAAGCGCTGCTATTATGTTGCTTTTTATTGGCTCTTTTGTTTGAATTTGCAGCGCACCACGTCTGCCAATTAATTCAATCCGCATTGCTCGCATTTAGGCTACAACCTGTCTGAGAGTTGCCACCATGGCAAGAGATAAAAATGCGTTCCAGTGCTGGAAATTTAAAAATCATTTCATCCAGAAATCAGCGCATTAATGTAGAACTGTAATTAAACTGACTTGCATTAAACAGTTTTATTGCACACCTTCCAGCCAATCAGAATTTAGTATTTAGAAAGACCATGGTATAAACCAAAACAGTGCCATATTCTTTTGGTTTTACTGTATAAGTGACTGACATGCAGTTTTTGTAGTAAATGTCAAACACATTTTGTTGACCAATCTTAAAGTCAACACAAAATTTAAAATAAATAAATCATGTGTTCTAATGATATGTCCACAAAAAGAACACAAATGTGTATTAGGAAAGTAAATAGGGTTGAATTTGATTTGGTAGCACTTTACTAGACAAGGTCTCATTTGTTAACATTATTTAATGCATTAACAAACATGAACAATGAGCTCCATCTCCTTACAGCATTTATTACACTTTGTTAACAAAAATGTTCATATTCATGTTAGTTCACAGTGCATTAATACATGCAAACAGATACAAATTTTGATTAGTAAATGTTGAGATTAACATTATAGCTAAAATTAATATTGACTTTAAAAGTGAACACTGTGTTGTTGAGTTTGGTGATTCAGTCCAATTCAGCATGTGCTTTATTTATATCCAATTCTGTTCACAGTTAAGGATGTGGAATCTGTCAGCCGGTGGATTTCTGTCAGTCCCTATTTAATATCAGTGTGCTCTTATTGATTGTGTGACTCCAATCACAAAGGCACATACATTCTCATGTAACTGATCATATCCCCTCTGTTACATTTCTAAGCGGTGATTTGAAACAGACCACTATAAACAGCTGGAGAGGTGGGCACATTTGGCATAAAGTGAAGGCTTAGCTCATAACAGGGTCACGACCTGGTCTGACAATGAACAGACACACTTCAGCTCTTTATAAAGAAAGTAGGTCTCAATTGACTCCAAAAGCCCATATGGTGAGGTGTGAGGGGATACGCTCTGTAAAAAACATTATTGGCCACAGTTAACTCATTATTCTGGTTTAATGTATAGGTCTTACTACTATTTAACACTGTCAAACACTCTGGTCGTTCGCAGCCATTATAATATCAAAAAGATTTAACCATCACTGTTGCCTATTTAAAGTGTCTTAGCATGTCAAACTTCACAATTTAAATCCTGATACTGTCTGCAAATGTGTCCAAGGATACAAATAGCACCCTCTGCTGAAATCATCTGAGATAAAATCAGAATATCAAACCAGCTAACAGGGTATGGCTAAACATTCGTAAATGAGTAAAATAATGATAATAAACCATTTTGCAATGCACTTTTAGGCATTGTCTTTTAAACAACCCTCTTAGATGTCTTAAAGTAAAACTGTGAAGTTGATTTTATACATTATTAATCCTATTTGTTGCTTAATTGCAAACTGGTTATATAAAGTACAACATTATAGCCAGCAATAACAGAATTTGCTTAATTTGCTTTTGAATATTTATTTTAATTAACCATCGCTCTATAGAAGATCCATGAAAAAGCCATGAAAATGCAAATGAAAGCTCTTTAATTATCAGGCACCAAGAGCTCTGGATTCCCGTCTCTCCTCTCCAAATGTGTGTATAGCATGGCCGGCTGAACTCTAGCAAATAAACTCTGACCCTTTCAGACTTTTTCTTCTGCGTGACAGATTCTGAATGACAGACAACAGCTGTTTAAACAATCAAAAGCCTGTGTATCTTTAAAAAAAAACGGACATGACCACAAACAAAGGTGACATTGGTCGTAACACAACTTTCCATTACTCATGAAGACGCCTCTATTAAAACCTTGCACTGCAGCCAATGAGTTCCTGTCTGCATCATATCCCTATATTGGAGGATATATTTAGCTAAAACATAGGAAGAGCTTGGCAAACCCTTAAATGTGCACTCGCAGTGTATTTTGAATCTTAAAAGTATATTTATATATTTTTTAATTATTGGCCTACTTGCAGGTAATATAATAATAATGACATACTGCAAAATACCACTTAGGTTTAAGAGAGTACACTTGCATGCCTTTTAAAAAGGGCACTTTGTATAAATATATGACATACACATTTAATATGGAAATGTTTTTTTGTTTTGTTTTTTACCATAAATGCTTGTTGTACATTCTGCAGACTAACCACATTATAGAGACAACATAATTAATTACGAAATTACCTATAAAGATGTACTTAGTCCTAGGTGGGTCAAAAAGGACTCATAAGTTCAACTAATTGCACTTAATATAAAATACATTTTCATGTACATGCAATAAAGTGTCCAAACACATTGCAAACAGTTTGCACTTAAGTATTTCTTGAACTAATATTATTTTCGGATTAAATGTCGTTTTTAAAAGTACGCTAAAGTGTACTTCTTAGTTCTTTTTCACAAGGGAAAAATACCAGACCTTTTTTGTTGACTGCCTTTTTCAGTAATAGCTCCTTATGTGTAGCCCAGTGTTTTGGTGTTAAAAGTGTCAAGTCGAATATTGTACAACATAGCACTGTTAAATAAAAGGGAAAATAAACATCAAAGGAGGAAAAACAGATGAAAGACAGGGAGAGTGAGGGGTTAAACTCAGGCTGGGGAAACCTGATGCTAATTAGGTCTTTGGAATGCCACATACAGGCTGTGTGCCGAAACCTAGCAAGCCCCCTAACTAGACAGCATTTCTGGCCATGATTTGCGGATACAGCAGTTTTGGGACGTTGTTGGCATTATTGGGCATTATACGTGGAGCATTTGTTGACATCATATGTGCATATAGGATTATTTGGGCGTTATGCATGCAGCAATTTGGGGCCTAGTTGGCACAAAGAGCATATTTTAGCACACATACATTTGTTTTGGGCATTGTGTGTGCAGGATTTTTCTAAACACTTCTGGAGGAGAATGACATCTGCCTCAAAAGACTGCCTTTGTGGGCATCATACATTCCTAATTTGTTAAAAATGCAGCATGGGACGATGATGCCCAAAACTGCTGCTTATATTGCCCAAGAATTATGTGAATGCACATTTGATGCTCAAAAATATTGCATGTGCACATACAAATGATCAAAACTGTTGTGCATCTGCTTGTGATGGCCAAAAATGCATCATACACAATAACGCGATGCTGCATAAAATGATGATTCTTAGAAAAACTGCACACATCTATGATGCCTATACAGCCTACATATGATGCCCAAAGAAATGTTGCCTAGATAGGGAGCTCACTGGTTTTTGAGACACAGCCTATAACATTCTCCTTCAGAAGTGTTTAGAGTGGCTCACACACACACTGCACTAAAGGAGAGATGCTCACCTCCTGCTGTTTATGTTTTAACTGACATTCCAACAGAAGGCAGCTGCAGGTAATATGATTTCACTGTTTAAATAGTTATCTGCGGATTTAAACAAAATCAAAACATCTTTATGTTTCAAAACATATTGTTGACGTAGCCTCATTTCTTTCAGTTCAATGAACTCTTTCAAACGCGTTTTCCCGCTTGAGTCATAACTGTTGTTTTTTATTTTAGTAGATAAATGAATTAACAATGTCATCATCCAAAAAAACACTATTGCTGCTGGTTTATGTATTATGCACGTTCCGCTCCGCGCGTTCGGGGGACTCTGGAGACGCCAGACCCTGCTCCGGATCACACTGTCCGGGAGGCAGATCGCCCAGACCGCCGCGACAACACAGTCCGACAACACAGAGCAGATCAATAAATCAACATCATGCTCCCTTCAGCTTTTCATCTGAACATCACGCCACGTTTCTGTCCCAGCGCGGGCGGTCTGGAGACCAGACCAGGGAAACCGTCCAGACGCGCGTCGCTGGAGTGTTTGATCCTGTGTGCGCAGATTGCGTTACGCCTCAAGGACCAGATCATGTTGCGAACGACACCGGGGAATGTAAAGGAATTGAGTGCCGTCTGCCTCTGAGGATACGACAGAAGCCCCGATCGAGACCCTGTGCTGGAGACGGGTGTGTACCCGAGCCCAGCCAACCAACCCTCATCCATGTGGCAGACAGAGCCGCTCAGTTTCTGGGGGAATTTCCGGACATTGGATATCCCGCATCAGAGGTCGGGGCTCCTCTGGGAGTTCAACTCACGTGTGACATCAAACCAGGTGAATTGAAACAGTGGTTCCAGCTGTTCTGCACTTCTTGAATGAAAGTAACTAGCGTAACACTTAATCAAATAGAGTAAGCTACTACTAACTAGCCTATAGTGTATTATAAAAGAAAATCCAGCTAAAATTAATTTTTGTTACTTTACAAAAAGTACCATATGGTAATACCATATGCTTTGTCGAACATGGTAATGCCATGGTATTATTTTGAAACATGTAATAACTCATTTTCATGACTTTTTCCACTAACAAAAAAGTACCTTTTTTTTTCTTTTTTTTATGTAGGCTACTGGTAATACCATGGTATTCTTCAAAGTACCCTGGGCTGTGGAAATTGCATAGTAAATGAATATGGTAATCATTAATTAATATGATATAAATCAGGTGTTTCCAACCTTTGTATTCACCTGATTATTTTAGTTTTACATATTATATTTTAATTCGTTTGTTTATTAATAAATAAATAAATAAATAAAATTTGATTTTTTAATGGTTTAATTTATTTGATAATTATATCACAATCTTACAAAGCCCCTCAAGACATTTGGGATTACCTTAATGAATTCGATATCACACTATCACTGAACCTTGGTTCCACACTGCTTTTTTCCCCAGAATTATAATCTATAGATGTAATAAAAATAATGTTGTCTAGAAGTCTAATACAAACTACACAGAAGAAATCTCTTTAATGCTTGTGCACTGTAAACTTGAATAAGTGCCAATTTTTTTAAGTTAAGAAATTTTAAGTTTAAGTAAGAACTTGCAGATTTTTATTTTGTACTCATACATTTTAACTGCTCTTAACTTGAAATATTGAGTAAGCTAATTAATTTAACTTAAAATTTTCATAATCTCAACCTAAATATTTTTAGTAGTGGAAACTTGGCTAGCTTTAACTAGCTAATTCAATAAATGCTATAACTTGCTAATTGGTAACACAATGCTTTGATAGCATTAGCATAGCATAGCACTTGCTGAATGAGTACAGCAATATGAAACATTTAACATATATCTGTTCTCAAACCAAGCTCATGCTCCATTTGTCACCATGATGATAACCAAAAAAAAAAAAAAAAACCCAACATAACAGAAACTACTAAACTAGCATAACCAAACATTAAACACTATTTCACTACTATCTCCCACTTAACATTAATCTTGCACAAAAAATAAAAAAAAACATTTTAGTATTTTAAAATTTTAGCACTCACTCTCCCTTTTAAGTGTCATGGAAAAGCATGCTGGGAAGTAGAAATCCCAAGTCCAGTTTCATTTAAATTTAAGTGTGTCTGAATTAAAAGAAACAAGTTCATAAAACTCAAAACAATGAAACAATTCAGATTACTTAAAATGTGTCAGTTTTGTTAACTCAAAAGAAAAAGAAAGTTCTAAATACTCATAAAAGTTAATCTGATTGAACTGATTTTTTAATTTAAGTTGGCTCTACTCAAACCAATTTATTATTTTGAGCATTAGGTTTTACAGTGTAAATTTACAGACATCACAGAGGAATTATCTCTGTTGTCCTTGAACAATATGAGAGACATGCTGCAGGGTGGGGAGTGTACACAAACTATCAGGCTCCATAATACATAATACATTACTGCTGGTATTTTCATACATCAATGAATAGGGGAATTTGACAGCTGGCCCAAGAACTATTATTGCAAACACACACATCTGCTTGGCTACACAGCGTGTTGTAGAGCTGCAGAACTGCTGGCAGTCAACTGTCAAGAAATTGCAGACAACTTTAATCCATTTCCATACGATTGAAATAGTTCTAGCACAGAAAGAAAATAGCGCGTGGTTGTAAAATGATGCAATAAAATTGCTTTAACATTCACATATCAAAAAGCTGTTCACTCTACTAATGATACTATTTTACTAATTTCTTGTTTAGATAACCATTTTCTCAGTTCACACAAAATTGCATCAACGCGAGAGCATGAACTGCATGTCTCTAATTACTCCCAAATAATCCTTTTTATATCGAAATATAAGGTAGAATGGACAAGAGTAGGCCTAACTATTAATGGAAATGTACATGTCATTCTTAAAGGTGCACTTTGCAGGATTTTTAATTCTAATAGTAAACGATGCCCTCTCCCCAGCATGATATCAGGCACGCAGTCCAACCGATGCAAAAGAATACCAGCGGGAAAATGAGTGATGAGCTATTTTGCAAATTTTTTTTCAAATATTGTGTTTATTATGCATAAATAGCATTTTTTTTGTGTATATTTAGCCATCTTCAGTCTAGCTCGCTAATAAAAAATAAGTACGTGTCATCATAACATAATTACAATACTCAGTATTCTGTCGAGTTTCAGACAACAGTCAAAAAGGCAATAGCAACATTAGCGAATTGTTTTGTGTTGAGACAGAAGAACTTAGCGAAGCCTCCCGAGCTTCAGACAGACACAATAAAGTCCCCGCCCTCAACTGCGCCGCGCGTCGTTATTGGCTGGGCCAAAGATTGCAGCACAGAAACATCCCGAGCACAGTATTTCTGTAGATACGTAATGATTGAGATTGTTTTTGAGTCTATACTTTTATTTTGATGTTTTTCCGAAAATCCAAGATGGTCCTCACTGCAGAACCCGAAATCCAGGGAGGATTTCGAGGAGTGGGAGGAGTTGGATCCAGATCCAACTCCTCCCAACTTACATATACCTAATCCTACCCATCTCCGCCCCCTGATCCCTAAACCCACCCCTAATCCTACTCATCTCCACCCCTTAGATCTGGATCCAACTCCCCGCCTGGATCTCGTGTACTGCAATGAGGTGCTACTGGAAAATCCTGCATAGTGCACCTTTAAAGCTTAGCATACACTTTTTGAGTTAATGCCACTTAGTCTTGTCTGTTTCGTTCTTTCACAAGGAGAGAATGAGGTCCCTGCCGAGGACGCACTTATCCTACACCTACAGCTGGCAAAGGGACAAGAGAAGCTGGTGGAAGCTTTGAGAGCTCAGCAAGTGGTGATTCGTGATCTGCAGCAGAGGCTGGTGGAACAGCAGGGAGCCCTCCTCTCCCAGCAGCGTGAGATACTCAGCCAGCAGCGCCGCATGTTCGAGCAGATGGATGTGGTGAAGGCTCAGTACGGTCTGCTTTCTGAGACGGTCAAGCAAGTCTCTTTCCAAGGTCTGCAAGGAGAACTGCAAAGCCATTTCGAAAGTCACCTGGCCGATCTTCAGAACCAAGCACGTAGCCACCTGCAAAAGTCCTATGCTGTGCATAAGGTAGATGTGAACGCCAAAGTGATGAATGTAGCTGGGGACGCAGGACGTCCATTGTTGGGCTGTCGAATTGCTTGTGGACTTGAGGAATACTGTGACTTACAAAAGGATCCACCGCAGTGTGAAAGGTGCACTATGTGTCCCCCTGGATTCTTCCTGGTGTCACAATGCTCCCCCACTGCTGATAGGATGTGCCAGGTGACACTGTGGCAGAAATTGCATTATGCATGCAATACATAAGATTTCAGTAAAGAGCAAGCAAAGGTGTATGTGTTAATCTTTAACATGTCTTTGAGTAACAAATATCTATCAACAGGACAGGGATGAATGCCTTGAATTACCGAGCTTGTGTGGGGAGCGAGTAAAATGTCTTAATACCCCAGGTAAGCAAATTAAAAACATGATGCAACTCCAATGTCTGCCTTCAAATAGTCTCTTCCTGGGATTCACCAAGCTTACCTTTTGTTTTGTTTATCAGGAGGGTTTCGTTGTCTTGGTGTCTCCGAGAGGGAGATTTCCACAGGGCTGTGTGGTCATGAGTACTTCTACAATAAGGAACTTCAGGAGTGCCAGGCTTGTTCAGACTGTGATGGTGAGCCTGTTGGCATTCCCTGCACTTCCACCAGTGATGCTGTATGTGGAACTGTGTCTGAGAACATGCTCTCACAGTCTTGGGCTGCTTCGATTGTCATACCACCAACAAAATCGAAGAGTACTTCCATCTTTCCAGGGCTACAGCTTAATATTCGTGGCAAAGAGGGAAACAACCTATTGACCAACCATGATGATTACCTCAATCTCCAACAACATGGACTGGTCTGGATAGACTACAACTTTGCACTAAAGCACAGCTGCAGGAACTTTCTCCAGGTCGGGATACGGATAAACGGCAGTGAAGAGGAGGGTCGAGACCTTAGCGGGGTTCGAATTGAGCAACCAGAGAGAAAGTTCTTCCAGGGTGTGACTGTAAGTACAGCAGTTGAAGTGGAACCCAGTCATATACTGACACTCGTGCTGAAGAGTCCCAACCAATACTGCAACCAGAGTAAAGATATTCAAGTCTATGAGCTTGGAGGGGCTTCGTTCAGCTTGCTGTGGTTATCCCATGACACCGGTGCCGTGGCCATGACTGCTCAGATGTCAACAGCAGCCCACTATCAGAGTAACCATCGCCCAACCTTCCGTATAGCCGCTGTTTCTGATCCCTACATAGTGGCACTGACCCACGACAGCCGCGGGGTGCGTTTCATGGAGAGTGGCGTGGTGAAGTTTGTGCTCCAGCAGGCCATCTATTCCATGGGCCATGCTTGTGTTCGAGAAGGTTTCTCACTGATTGCCTACGTCAACCGAAATGGCACTAACCAGGAGGTGCTACGCTCCTTTAAGTCTGGTGTTAACTACAGGGACACTTCCATCACCCTTTCCGGAGCCACAAGGGTAGACAGAGAAGACTGGCTTAATTTTGAGATTGTTGCCCCATCTCAGTGCAATGTCCGCTACTTTGGCGATAATTCTGGGATTAGTATGATAAGCTTGATCTGGATCCCCACCACTGTCTCCTCTACATTCACAGCCACTGTCTCAAGAACAGGTCTTCCCTCTGGGGCAGTACGAAATAAACCCCTGCTTTTCAGGCAGATGAGCCCGAATACAGACCAAATGCGGCTAGCTGGTTCAGGTGAGGCACATGCCCAGAGGAACTTTGTATTTTCTGAAGCCGGCACGGTCAGTGTGGCCCTCAACCTAAAGCTGATCCACTCCTGCAATGTGGTGAAGCTGACCCTTTACCGGCAAGGTAAGGATGGAGGTCAGGCCACGTCGTTGGCCCAGCAGGTGGGTGGACATATGCCTGAAGGTAGTGAGTGGGCCAGCGTGGGGCTGAGAACTTCATTCGAAGTACAGAATGGTACTGCCATCTATGTTTCTTTGGACTGCGTTCGTGGGCGAATCAACCAGATCACCCATGAGGGAGGCACCAACATCTCCATTCTTTGGTTGGCATCATGATCCCAAATATGCAGATCAATGGTTTTGTAATTAACTGATTTAAAAAAAATTAAATGGTGCTTTCATAAGGTGCAGTCACACAAAGTAGAAACAATACAGATGGACTTTGGTTCATTTATAATAGCTGAAATGCACAGGTGCTATTAATACTCCTCTGGTATTCAGATTCTATGTTTATTGGAATTATGTGAGGAGGAATGTAGGAACAGTTCAGTTACAGAAATAGAAATTGAAATATGAACATGTTTCTTTTTCTTTTTCTTGTATGGAACAATGAACTTTAAAAAAGTACTTTTTAAGTGCTTTGGCTGGTTGAGCAGTGACCAATTTTTCGCAAGAGAGTTAATGCTTTTCATATCTGTTTGATTTGGAATCGATTTAAATTTGCGGAAACAGTATTTACGTGTGTTTGTCACAGAGTGTGTTTGTTAAAAAGTAAGAAAGAATGTGTTTTTTATGTGTATTTGTGAGCTGATGTGATGATTTTACTGCACTTAATCGTAGTGCAGAATGTTGTACAGTGCACACTTTTGTGTTTTTCTTTTTAAACCGATTGGGATTCAAATAATATAGCTTAATCTATATGAAAGATATAGATGCATTACTGACTTATTTTTTGTTTTAATATTTTACAATAAGAAATCAAATAACGAAATCCTTTTGCATTTTTCAGATCATGAATATTTATATATATTTAGTACTATGAATGAAAACTGCTGACCATAATGTCCTCTCATTGTAATTGATATATATAAGAAAAATACAAAACAGACACAAATTTGTCCTAAGTTACATTGTACCGTTATTAACTGTAAGTGGCATATGTCTTCTATTATTCAAATACTGTTGCCATATGCTGCCTTGCATACCATGTTTAATTGCTTTTGTATGTGCTCAAACTACAGATCACAAACAGTGAAGTGAACAAACATTTGGCAACATTAATGCCATGTCTGCTTTGGACTAGTGCATTTTGATGCAACGACTGGGAATTCATTTACCATAGACATGATGTAGTGTGTAATCTTTGATAAAACAAAATTAAAGTCATAACAATTTTGCCAAAGAACAATATTCTTTTTATTATTTTATTTAAAAAGCTTTTTGGTGATTCCAGAATTTCTAAATTACTCCATATGGACTGAAATCTGTAATATTATACTTTCGAGAACATGTTAGAAAAATCTAAAACATGTCACATGTGGTTGTTTTTGATCTTGTATTAGTATACTGGTTGCTTCATAAATGCAAATAATATATATATTTAGCCGTTTTTGCTAACCCATATGTTCAGGATCAAGGTTTCCACCCCAGATGGGTACCAGAAAACCTTCTATTGGGCACAGCGTCAACTGAAAGAGGGCAGAAGTTTGGTGAAACCTCAGATGGCAGTACAGGACATCTTTACACTGAACTACTTAAGTGTGACAAAGAAAGAGTCATGTCATTAGAGCAAATAGTGTCCGAGATATATTTGCAATACACTTAATGCAAACGTTTTTAAGGAACTTGATAATGAAAACAATTGAATGTCTGCCGAAACATGACTAATAGTGCTTAAATTAGCAAGAAAACTGATTGTGAGAAACAATAGAATGGGAATGGAAAGCAGGTGTAGAGCGCTGAACCAGATGTTTCTGGTGTAGATCAAATGAGATGTCCATACAAGAAAATATCCATTAAAAAAGCTATGGTTGGGAAGAGAGACAGACGTCAACTATACAGAGAGAGAGAGAGAGAGAGAGAGAGAGAGAGAGAGAGAGAGAGAGAGAGAGAGAGAGAGAGAGAGAGAGAGAGAGAGAGAGAGAGAGAGAGAAAAAGAGAGAGAGAGAGATATGAAAAGTAAAAATACCACTAGTGTACCTGACGTCAGAAAGTTCCAGATCTTTGGAAAGCATAGCTGCCAACTCTCACGCATTGGCCGTGAGACACCCGCATTTGATTGGTTTCACACGCTCACACGCCACACTCCCGATTTCTCACGCTGAAGTGTCAACCCGGGCGGTCAAATGCCTGGAAGATGAGTTTATCTATATATCTACCTGTTGAGCCACTCGTGATCGACTAGTTATACCGCAAATTCGTTAAAAATCTCCCGTTATCTATAGCGAGCGTGCATGCGAGACAGAGATTGTGCTCCAAACCGCGTAGAGCGAGCGAGAGACCTTGCGCGAGCGAGACCGCCCCCCCCCCGTGTCAACAAATCGCACTCGTCTCTTCCACCCCCCCCCCCCCCCCCCCCCCGTCAACAAATCTCACGCCGAGCAAAACTCAAAAGTTGGCAGGTATGGGAAAGAGATTTTTTTTCTGGATCGATATGTGGTCTTTTTGGTTTTTACACCATGGAGGAAGTTTTATAGCTCTTTTACAGTATTTTTTATAAATATGTTTACACATTTTTTTAATTAAAGTCCATCTTTTGTGATACAGCCAATCACAAATACAGGAATTTATATACATGTCAAAATTGTATGTGTTAAAACCGCCCTATTATGATTTGAGATCATTTTTCAAATGTGCGTACGTGTGATTCAGATACGAACATATGCACAAACAAATTAACATACAAACAAAAAACAAACATACACACACACTTCCAGATGTGAAATCTATTTCTGCATTATAGGCCATTTATAGCCTATAGATTGGCCGAAATAATTTACACATGTAGAACCAAAGTATGCTTACTAAACAACTGAACTTTAATGCTGTGTAATTAATAAAACAGAGTTTTATTATTAGATTTCCAAATACCTGGAGTACTCCGACTCTGCCACAAGGAAAACTGCACACGCCTGCTTAGAACCTGACTAGCTAATCACTTTTCCACATCAAATACCTTCTTTTTTTTTATCTGAACATTGTCATGGATTTAAGTGTATGTACACTATAACATCAAATCTGTGCCTACACACATTTTATAAATGTCATGCTTTATAAGCTGTGGTTTGAGAACATAATTATTTTGAGATTTCTTTGTCCATATACTCAAAAGTTCATATAAAGCAGAACAAAAAAAAAACTTTGAGAAGATCTGCAAAGAAACTAATATGAAAGGACAATTAAAACCTCAAAAACGAATACAATTTGATTACATGCACTCACAAATAAACCTGCTCTGTCAATGATTAAGATGGAAGTTTACATTCTGGTCAGACATTTGTTTACTTTAAAAATATATACAAAATTAAGTATTTAAATGAAAAGAATACTTGGGATTAAATACACGTTGGAAAAAATTGCACGTACTGATATAAGAAGTTTATAGCTTGTCGCAAAAAAGAATGAATACTTTTACAGAATTCATGAAATTCACCTATTTAACCCCTGCATAATATAAGAAAATAAATCAATTAATAAAACCAGTATGGCATTTATTGGTTCACATGTATTTCATTTTGGGACAAAAAAGAAAGACACGAAAACAAATTGAAAGATGTAATTATTCCAATCTATTTAGCAGATCTCTAGATGCATACCTTTATGTTTGTAATGAGCTCAAGACACAGAAAAAGTATACACTACCTTTTTAATATATTATGTGATGATACTTGTTACTGCTATCTCTCACACACCTTATTTTTATGGCCAACTTCGTCCTCTCACACTTTCTCTCCTCCATCTCATCTCTGTTTGCTCATTAGGCTGTTTACTGAGGCATGTTAATGAAGGCCAGCAGGTCACCACACACAAACAGAGAGAAATTCACAGTCTGCAGCTCATGAAAGCCTTTTCAGTCTCGCCAACCACAAAGATCTTCCTCCCACTCAGCAACATTTTCCAATGAACTCATAAAGATGAACTTACCGTGTTTCCTATGGAAAAAATATTAGGTGTCTATGCGGTATTGTAATCATTACCCAGATATAACGTCATTGTGTTTGGATTTTTGTTAGAACACTGACTAAAATGTATCCTGTTATTTAAATCTAGATTTAATAAGTGAGTTTGTTAACATGTAACTATTGTTTTTGCACTGTCCATGACTCAATATTTTGAAGACATCACTATTACTATTACTCATACACGAGGTTAATGATTTCAACAAACTTCTTGGCTCTAACCCTAAGCATTAAACTTACCACCATTTGTGCGTCGACAGTGTCGAGAGACTGGTTCTCTTATCAGCATGGAAACTTCTGCCAAATGTGTCTCAGTGGGTCCTGCAGACTGCAGAGAGAAGCTACAGAATTCAATTTGGTTCTCGTCCGCCTCTATTCAAAGGGGTCCTTCCCACCGTGGTAGGCCCTGAGCAGACTCTGGAACAAGAAGTAGTAACTCTCTTGGGAAGTAGGCCATAAAACAGGTTCCTCTACCTGAGAGAGAATCTGAGTTCTACAGCCGGTTCTTCATCGTTCTGAAGAAGAATGGAGGGTTGCGTCCGATCTTAGATATGCAAATTAAATTGTATGGCTAAAACGTTTAAGTTAAAAATGCTAACGTTGAAACAAATCATGACTCAAATCATATCCGAGGACTGTTTTTTTATTATAGATCTCTAGGACGCATACTTCCACGTATCCATCCTTCCACAACACAGGAAGTCCCTGAGGTTTGCTTTCGGTGGCGGAGCTTACAAATATCAGGTCTGTGGTCGTGCCCACTTTACAACCTGGCATAGCAAATCCTGAGAGCAGCTTACATCCCTGGGCACCAAAACCAGGGAGCAGACATCCTGTCGAGGCAGGGGCTGAGGCCCGGGGAATGGAGGCTCCACCCCGAGGTGGTGGAGACTATATATGGAGAGAGTTTGGCCAGACAGAAGTGGACCTATTTACGTCTCAGGAAACACACTGGCCGCTCTGGTTCTCCCTCACACATCCAGGTCAACTGGGGATGGATGCCATGGGTGCAGACGTGGCTTAGGCTTTCCCCCCAATCGATCTACTCCCGGGAGTTCTAGAGTGTGGTTCTCAGACCTATGTCTCTCCTCGATGGTTCTCCATGGGAGATTCCCATCAGGAGGGACCTTCTGTTCCAGACAAAAACCCTCGCCCAGATTTGTGGGTTTGGCCCCTGAAGGGTCTCTCAA